CCATCGATCTAGGGGGAGTTGTAGTGACTTGTTAGCGATTTTACGTATCGCTAACAGCAGGTGTTAGCGCTAATTTACACAACACAGATTTTTTTTTTTACCTTTGAAAGGAGTAGTTTGGTTCTTCTTTGTATTGAGACGTGTACGTGAGGACGTATTTTCCACACCCATAGGAATTACTGTGAATGTGTGTGTTATATTTTTACTGCATCCTGTTAGTGGAATTGGAGACGTTATTTTATTCAGTTATATGTGGATGAGCTGGCTTTCTTCAAGCTTTGGACAACAACGCCAAATATACAGAATAATAAAGTAGTGAGCATATGTGCTTTCATCCTATCTACTATTACTAAAAAATCGCTAAACAAGGTATGAAAAAGTCTTGCCTTAACAATGCTTGAATTGACCATAACATAAAATGTACTTTTCAACTTTCTACACACATTCTCAATTTAATTCTTACCTCATCAGGAGAAATATTCAACTTTCCTATTGATTCTAGACTTCTTGACTTCATTCGTTCTCTACCAAACAAATAATACAATTTTAGATTGAAATGCATCAAATGGTACATTGATTGTCAGAAAGGTTCAAACTGATTCAACTTTGCCGATTGTCAGGGCAGCTAGCAAATGCACCCTGATTCGTCTGTAATGCAATCAGCAAAGTTAAACCAGGTTCAACCTTCCTGGCATCTGTCACCGACTGTCACCAATAGGGTGAGCGATTCTATGGAAACCGAGCTTAAGAATAAGTAAGTAAATCCTTGCAGAGCCACTAGGGCTCCTTTGGATACAGCTTATACCCAGTTTCTGTAGAGTGAAGCGAATGACAGTGTGATACTCCTTGAGTGGAATGCTGGTCCATCGCATTTTACTTCCAGCAATTTACTGGCACCCACTGATACAGCTGGCTAAGACTGAAGCAATGAATATAGAGTGCTTGTGAAATGCACAGCAAAAAATTGAAACCCCAAACTCAAGTTTGGAAAACCACTATTAAGATATATAAACAATACTCACAACTGTGTTGGACCCTTGGATGCAAATAGTTTTTCTTCATTCTCATGTATCGGAGAATTAAAATCTCCTATCTGTAGTCTGAGTTTAGTTCGACCTAAAACTGGAAAAATGTCATGAATTTAAGAGTGTGAGCAATAACGATATAAGAAAAAAAAAAAAGACAATTTCACTAAGAAGATTATATTTTCTGTATTAGGCCCCATAAAAAAAATTATTAGTTTATCATCCTATCAAGACCAAAAAACTGATGAGGGAGGGAGGTTTTTTTTTTTTTTTTTTGGGGGGGGGGTCTGTTATTTTCTTCGCGAACCAATCCTTGACAACTTTTATTCCTTCCCTGATTTGCATGACAATAAGCGGCATGCTGAACACAAAATCCAGCCACCACAGGGTGGATTGAGATCCTAGATATTATAGAGAGAGCAAAGCTAGCGCGCGAAACTTCGAGATTTGCTCGCCGTTCGTCGTCAACGAACGTCATATCTCTCTTTCTTTGTGGACATGCGCAGTATGAAAAAGATCGCCTATAAATAGATATTGTTACTTGGCGACTACTCTAAAGATCGAAAATCATCATTCACCAGCCTTAAAA